CCCAGCCGCTTCGCGGCATGTGGGATCTTCCCAGACCGGCGCACGAGCCCGTGTCCCCTGCATTGGCAGGCGGACGCTCAACCATTGCGCCACCAGGGAAGCCCTATGTGTCTTTCTTGAAAGCTCCCAAACGGTGCACAGCTAGATAGAGTTGCAACACAAATCCCGACATAAATGCCAGCTGCTTGATGGAGGAGGCAGTAAAGGCCAGTGCTTATTAAGGGTGGACTTCGAGGCACGTTGAGAGATGGTGGAGGGAGCCTTGGGAGGTCCGGAGGTTCTTCAGGGCTCCCCTGATTAACAGAAGCAGGCAGGGACTTTGGGGATGGATGGGCAGCTGCAGAGCAGCGCGCCGCCTGTGCCGCTCACAGGCACCTCTCCAGTCCACCCTCCTCTCATTCCCAGACTGCTCTCTTCCTGTACCACATTTTTGTCTTCAACTCTTGCATTTTGAAAGGTCCCAGCATTCTTGTGTATCACTAAACCATCTCTTCCCTATTTCCCCATCGGTAAATTAAAAAATCTCATACATTTTTTTTTTTTTTTTTTACTATTAATTGAAATGTCAAGGAAACTTAACTATTTACTGACTAGGAAATAACCAGTGCAACAGAAATTTTAGAATATTTTTCAAATTTCACATGTCTCTTCCCTTTATCAAAGATTCTGATAGGCTTCCTGGAAAGAACTAGACCTCTCCCTCCTGCATCCCAGCTGGGAACTGTTTCCAATACTACTTGCTGGCCTTTTGGAAATTTTCTGCCCACAGAAGATCTTCTAGGCCCTAAAAAATCTGGAAGGGCCATGAGTGGGCCCTTCATGCCCTCCCTGGTTCTAGTCCAGGCAGGTTGCTTAGCAAAGCCATTTGCATGGAAACAATGAGAAATTAGAGGCACCAAGAGGAAAGAATCTCTTACCTGAGCCCCTCGCCCCAAAACTATGGTGCTACCAGGAAGGCCAGTTCCCCCTTCTGCTGGGCTCAGTCCACAGACCGTGGCTTATGTCTTCAAAGCACTGTTTCTCTCCCAGGGCCCTTGGCTGGTGTCCTGGGAGGGAGCGTGGGGTGGTGGCTGCCCAGGGCTGCCCTGGTCATGTGTGAGGGTGGGAGGAGAGTGGAGGACATGAGGAGGTGGCTCTGGAAGCCAGAGTGTCCTGAGGTGGGAAGATCCTGGGCAGCTTGAGCCTTCTGGTGACCCGGTTCTGAGGGGCATTAGCTGAGTCAATGGATAGACTCATCTTGAGAGGGTTTTGCATCTACTTGTTTGCAATTTATAACAGACCAAGCTTTAAAAAGATTCCAACCTTTGTATGTGTAATGAGGTGGAGCAAATTTTATTGACCATACTTCCTCTTAGGAAGAAGGCTGTCATTGTTCTAAGAATGTCTTGAGCAAGGCTTCAGAAAGGGAGGAGCTTGCCTGCTTGACAGAGGAGCAAGAATTGTGCTTTTTGATCCTCCCAAAGAGACGAGAGAGAAGGAACAAGAGGGAAAAACAGTGGGAAGGAGTAACCACGATGAACTGGAAGGCTAGTGTCTGGGGGCCCTTTTGAGATTGGCCATACATGCTTGTGAAAGTTGCTG